ATATAAACACCGATTTTGTGAACATGAGTTATTGTGAGAATCAGCTCAACAGCAACTAATGAGCACACATATAAGTATTTATTATATATCTATCTATTTGTATTATTGTTGTCGTTGTTAAGTGCCGTTGAGTCGGTTCCTACCCATAGCTGTTTATATTTTGATCGTCCTGCAATCTACAAGCTGGAAAGATATTTTAATTCTTTAGTGACCTTTAAATTTAACTTCTGTCAACTCCCGATGATTGGTGAAAGTAAATTAGATCTAAGTTTACAGTTGACATTTGAACAAAGTTATTGACACATAAACACAAGTGTCACTTCGTGTACGGAACTTTCCAGGATCCAGTACTGAAGAAGCTGCCATTCACATGTGGAGCAAATAGCACATTTTGTGTCCTTGTGTCTTGGATACCCTTTTGTGTGCCTTGTGTCTTAGGAAAATAATATTCTTTCTTTGCTTTCTTCAATGAAATAAAGTAATTCAATTGTTGAAATACGTGCACATGAATAAAAGTTGGCACCACTCAGTGTTTCTGGTGTGGTGCTAATTATATGGAGGTGACAAAGCTGAGCAGCTCTGAACATAACAAGGCTCGCCTAGGCAGACTCCTTGCTCTGCAGTTAGCAGTCGGCAGTCCCTCGTCACAGCCATTGGACCTGTGCTTGGACTCTAAACTGAACTGTGCTTAGGAATATATCTAGTTTCTAAAACAATTTTAAGTGATTTATATCTTAGAGATTTTACTGTATGGAGAAGTGTTTTATAAATCATAATTTTTTGTCTATGAATGTTGATATGCCCTTTCTCATCTGGTACAGTGGTTTAGGATAAGCACTGGACTGCAAACCACAAGGTCAGATGTTCAAATCCACCACCTGCTCCTTGGAAACCCCAGGTTGGGTCACTGTGAGTCAGAACCAACTCGATGGCACTTAACAACAACATCTTACCACAAAAGGTTTCCAAGGCACAAATTAAAAAATCATACAATAGGCACAATAGAATCTAAAATGAAAAAGTTAGGGTCTGAACGTTACAAAAAACACAAATAATAAGATCATGTTTGGCAGTAAGCCTCCTAATTTCTAAGATAAAAAGGGGGAAATTCATCAGTTATTTCGTTCTCATTGCTAATAAGAAGGTAGAGAGAGCAGAAATTCCTTGGCAGAAAATAAAGTTTTTACTATTATTGGATTATTTTTAAAGTTCTCCAAGTGGAGTTTTTTTTGGAGAGAATGCTGAATAATAACAGGAATAAAGTTCACCCCCTTTTTTAAAAATAGCAAACATAAAGTTCCCATGGCTATTTTTAAAACAGTGATCTTCTATATAAAACTTGTACGCTGTCCAGTCGGTTCCAACTTACAGCGACCCTGTACAGGGTTTCTGGGAGCGCCTGGTGGGTTTGAACTGCTGACGTTCTGGTTACCAATCTAGTGCTTATACTACAGCACCACATTAGAGCCTTAGCATAATTCAATAAAAAGTAATGAAAGCAGTTCAGTTAACATAGAGGTAAATTAACATGGCATTGGTATTTTGAATTTTTGATTCATGGTTAGAATTTAGTAATATTAGAGTATTCCATAGGTTACAAAGTCCTTAAATTATCTTTTCTAAAATTTACTTATGTCAGCTAGATGGGAGAAAGATCAAAGTTGTACTTATTTGGAAATTGTCCCTCATTATTTTTTTCTTTTCTTTTTCATTAACCTTAGATATCAAACTTGATCATCAGCTAATTTATGGTTCCCTAGAGATTTGTCATTAGGAAGCAAATTTATATAGTAATGTGAGAGACTCCTGATTAGAAGAAAGGAAACTAAAAAAGAACAGTGATTTATTTAATATATGTGTGTGTAAAGTGTGCAGTCCTTTACTGCAAAGTCAGTTTGAACCTCAAGGTCAACATTTCAAGGTCTCCAGCCACTTCTTGGAAACACTATACAGGGTCTCTATGGATCTGATTCGACTGGATGGCACTTAACAACAACAACAATATTTATAGTGTGGGAGCGCCATGGCTCTATAAGATAAGTGCTGGATTGTGAACCACAAAGTTGGCAGTTCGAGCCCACCAGCCTCTCTGTGGGAGAAAGATGAGTTTTTTCTACTGTGGAGTAGCTGGTGGGTTTGAACCTGTAGCCAAGCACTTACCCATTGCACCATCACTGACACACACACACACACATTAGCTCCTGCACTCTCTTTATATGCATGCATGCGTATTTATTATGTGTGCTTGTATGTATGTATGTATATGGTGAGAAGAACAGAGAAAGAAGGTCAGGGTAAAGCTTTCATTTGTCATCTCTCCATAATACCAGTACATTTCATTGCAAATTCAAGGTATTAAGTACTTAGAAAATATTTCTATTTTTTGGTAATTTATCAAAATATATTTTGATATGTCTAGTTTATAAAGCCTCATAATACTTAAAGCTGTTAACTTGATGTGTAATTGTCTTCTTTTGTGTTAGGTTGATAAAACAAAGCAAGTGTCCACCTATCAGGAAGTGATTCGTGGAGAGGGGATTTTACCTGATGGTGGAGAATACAAACCCCCTTCTGATTCTTTGAAAAGCAGAGACTATTACACGGATTTCCTGATTACACTGGCTGTGCCCTCGGCAGTGGCACTGGTCCTTTTTCTAGTACTAGCTTATATCATGTGCTGCCGACGGGAAGGAGTGTGAGTACTTTAAAAACACTAATAAGAAATTATAGACTCCACTAAGATAGCAGCACATAAGACTCCATTAAAAGCAAAGTTTCATTAGTTCGTAAAATACTTTATAACTGTGTTGAAATTGTGTTCAAGTCAAACTACAGTAATTTATTCCTTCAAAAGGAGTTAAAATAGTGATGAGTCTAGAAAATCAAATTAAGGGACATAATTATTTTATTCGAAAATTATTAAGGCTAACTGTAAATTCATGCCATCAGTACAGCATAATTGAAGCTAGATGTTTCGGTTATATGGGCTGTATTGTGTGAGCAGAGACTCTTCAGGATCTATAGACCTGGTAATTACACTTTAAATAAATAGTCTTAGTAAATTTGCTCAGAAGTGATGGTTAGAATTCTTCTTGAAATTGTTCTGCTGTCAAACAGGTTGACACAATCCAAATGCCTAAAACATTAAAAAAAAAAATTTTTTTAAAGACACCTTAGGAGTAAATTAATGAAAATCAGGATATAATTGAAGTAACACATCCTCACTTGATGAATGTTATACTTACAGGACATCTTTGTCAATTAAAATAACTTCCCGAGATTATCCGGAAGTCAGGATAATAAAGCCAAAAGCATAAAATTTAATAAAGCAGCAAGTAACAAATTCTTTCATTTTTACATGTAACCTGATTTCATTATATCATAGAATTTATTTCAATCAGGAGCTTGATTCTTAACCTCCATGTCGTTTTTGGTTTTTTTTTCTTTCTTTCTTTCATTTTTCTGTGTGTTTCTCATCAGTATTCCATGTCTATATGTGTGCTTATCCAAGAAATGCCATAAACATGGTGGCAAATGCTACCTGTTTGCATTTAATAGTAACAACGTCAGCATTTCCACATCACGCAAGATCCCATGAGCATAAAGTCTTAATGTTCCAAATATCAATGCTATTATTTAATTCATAAATTTTGTTTTGTTTCTAGGGAAAAGAGAAACATGCAAACACCAGAGTAAGTGTCTTTTTTTCCTGTTATTTTCTTTATCATTTTTTTTTTCATTTCTCAGTTGCATACCACGTTCTATACATGTATGCCATGCTTTCTGTTTTTCCATCTTTTCCATGTTTCATACTTTATTTCATACATGTGAATGCTGCTTTCTAAATAGATACATACAGAGGGGTAGAAACGAAATATAAAAAGGATCTGAAAATTAAGATGATATAGGTAAAAATTAAACCTAAACTATTTCAGAATTAGAATATTAACTTGCCATTTATATTATGTGATTTCCCAATCTGCATCTCTATAAACCAGAAAACAGATGAAAAGACCTTTCATACAAGTTTTCCTGAATCTTCAGTAATAACCTACCATAAAATGAAACTTCTGTGAGTATTTATAAATGCCCCACCAGAAGCAATGACATAAAAGCAATGGTAGATTTATCTTAATCGTAGCAATTAACTAGAATACCAGTTTATTACTTAGGGCTGTAATATTAACACAGTGCTTCATAGCCTAGTTTAATAAAAGATAGATTTATTTTTAAATTAGTTTATAATGTTCAGTTATTCGATGTTAAAACTTATGTGGAATGTATCTTTTTCTGAGATAGCATGCATAATATTCCAAGTGTAAAAATGCTTTCTTATTTTAAAAGAAAAATAATTTTCTATAACTTTTTCAAATTGATGACCCATCCAGGCTAGTATATGGACTTAAATATGTATTATTTTATTTCTTTTTGACCTAGTATCCAATTGGTCCATCACAGTGCTATTCAGAAATCTACCAAGGAGCTTCGTGACATGTCTAAGAATAGAGAGATCGCATGGCCACTGTCGACGCTGCCTGTGTTCCACCCTGTAACTGGGGAAATCATCCCTCCTCTCCACACAGATAATTACGATAGCACTCACATGCCACTGATGCAAACACAGCAGTAAGTATCTACTTGGAGCTGTAATAACGACTGTTAGTTTGCATGCATGTATGTTTTAGCTTGTGTGTAATGGGAAAAGAAGAAACCAAGAGGACATTGATATTCTAGGTCCCAATGCCATTGTACTGAAACAAATAAAATAGAATTATTTTCAGGTAATACTTCCCCCTACCCAGTTTCATGAAATTTAAAAATTGGGACATTTTCTTCACTAGTCCAAAGAAGACTTCTTTCACCTTAATATGTAGGATACTCACACTGATAATAAAAGAACAAGTTTGTACAAAGATGAGTAAATTGTGCAAAGAGAAGCATATCCTAAAGCTCGATTGTTTTTTAGAGATAGGGTTCTTTGGTTTTATTAACCATTTTATTATTATTATTATTATCTCAGCTATTTAATTTAAATTTTATACCTTTGGACAAAAGTTTTTAGGTTTCTTTTCTTCTTTCTGTGATCTGTTTATATGTCTAAAGAGGCATTTCCAATTTTGGTTCTAAGGATATTTTACTAGTGTAAACCTTTTCTGCTGTTCAAGGATACTGTGGCCGGCCAGCCTGGAAGAGCCTCTGTAAGGGCAGATATTGGGGTTGGGGTGTGGGTAGAGGAACTTGCAGAATTGTGTTCAAGGATCCAAATGATATGCCTGGAAGCTAGGTTTTAATATAAGAAGATGATAGATAAAACTATCATTTATTTCTAAGAACATGACTCTTTTAACCATATCTTGAAATGAAATAATTCAGTTGTCCCTTGAACTAAGAGTCACGACGTTTGCTTTGAAGGGCCTCCTCTTTCTGACCTTTAATTTATAAATAGAATAGACATCATGCAGAATGAATCTCTTTTTCTTTCTTTCCCTTGCCTCATCCCATGCTCCTCTCTTTCTTATCCCCCACCCAACACACATATATATAACCTTAGTCTGTGATATAAATGTAAACTCTTAGGATTTAAAAAATTAACTAGGATCCATGCTGGGTGCAAACATTTTTCCATTGAGAATGCTTATTTTGGTAATTTGAAGCTCAAATTATGATCAATTTGAGTAGTATTGACAAACTAGATAAATTTGTCCAAATATTTTTGAAAATCCAAATGTATTATATCTTCTGAAGTCTTGTAATATCATTTGCATAGTACTGAATAGGTCAAGATGTGTGTTTATGTTTGCGTGTGTATACATGCGTATATGAGTAATTAATTCAGATGCTATAATGGTGCATATAATTACATGCAAGTAAAATTTTGGGTTTGGAGAGCATCAGTATTGCAGCAAGGATAGATGTATTAATGTCTCTCAGAATTTTATTTTACTAAATGGATAGGATAGATTTCTTTGGCCTTGATATGGTCAGTGGTCCATCTGAAAAAAAATCCACTTAACCAGGATTAGATACTGATGAAAAAGCTAGTAAAATTTCAAGACTATCATAACAATTCACAGTTTAGTAATCTCCCCTGTCTTTTTTAGATTGTTGCTGTTGAGGGTCTGCCTCTTTTTGTTGATTACATGATATCCTTCACCAGGGAATGGTCCTCCCTTCTACATGAAATTTGTGAATAGCTTTATCATTCATTTTCAAATGTTCTTCCTTTAAGAAATTATTTTTGTTGTTGTAATTTGTACATATTATTTAAGTCTAATGTTTCATATATTGTTTTCCCTAGAATGCTGATGTTCTCAGAAATGTTGAGACGTAGTCTTCAAAAATAAGCAATGATCAAATAATGCTTGAGACACAGGATTTATTTGTTTGTTTTTTAAGCGACAGGGGTTCTCTGAGCCTTTAGTGTATTGATGTGTTGATAAATGTTGTGATCCATGCAAGGAAGCCAGATCAGGCAACTCTTCAAAGAACACAGTTTGAGAAATGCTTCTATTGATAAGGTGGTGATGCTATCAATTTTTATGATAGAAAAAATACTTGAATGAGTAGGGAAATACTTTTTGTAAGTGACTAAAACTCTATTGCTGGTGAAGTTGAGATCAGAATTAATGGCTGCCATCATTTTCATTTTTATATGTTTTCTAACCATATGTATTAAAGATAAGATTAGCTCCTTAGAAATTACTTTGATTCTCTGTGGCTAGGAGTTTGCATTGTTGCTACTAATACACAAATAAAGTAAAATTTCCTGTTTTCAACCAAGTACATTTTCCTGTTCCTGTCATAACTCCATCAAGACCTTCATTATGTTGATCGGAGCTCTTGATTTGAAAATGCAATAGATTATTTTATTGAATTTCTAACAATTTGATCATATATGTATTTTTAAGTCCAGAAAACCTTCCTTAATATTATTCAGATTTCTGCTAATGCAAAAACCCCATTAACTAGCACTTCTATATAAATAGGGTACATAGATAATTGATGATGTTCACAATGATTATTCTGAGGCGCTGCAAGATCATCAAGTGTGTCTGACTCATCAGAGGAAAATTAAATTACATTCGGTATAGTTTCAGTGTTGAGTGTATATTATCTTTCTTTTATTCTTGGAAATGGATAATATGTGCGTGGTCTCTATGGTAACCCCCTATAAGCCACAATATGTGATTAACCTCATTTTCCAACCATGCCAGATAATAGGGAACTTATTGTATCAGGCTCATCATAGCTGTTTATTCTTCAGAGTTGATATCATAGATATTCTGGCATAGAATGTAGCTAAAGGTTTATTTCGGAGTCAAAGCAAGATGAAAGTTTAAAGTTTTACTTTAAAGTCTCATAGAAACTGGTTTGGTCTTTGAAACAAGTCAGTCCACCTCAGAAGAATAGAAAACTCTAACAGTGATGCAAGGGTCCGTGGTGGTGCAATGAATAAGCACTCGGCTGCTCTCTAAAAGATCAACAGTTAGAACCTGTCAGAGCGCCTTTGGGAGAAAACTCCTGACAATGTACTCCCATAAAGATTACCGCCTGGAAAGCCCTATGGGGCAGTTGTGCAACAAGGGGTTGCTATAGTTATTGATCAAACATATAGTGACATTTTCTTTTTGGGAGAATGCTTCATAAGACTCCATTGGTACCATAAATTAGCCAGCCAAAACTGTTTAATCATTTGCAGATGATAAAATTAAGATATTGTATGAGAGAACACTAAATTAGGTGAGAACTGAGATTAGGTTATGTACCTATCCTGATACATAGTGAGGGATACATAATGCTCTCATTGACCTCAGAGGTATTTCTGATCCAGGCAAGGTGATTTCAGAGATAGTCGAAAGGAAAAACTGAGCAGAGCAAGCTGGAGAATGTAGCACATGCTCAGGAAGAAAGATTTTCATTGAGCAGAATGGTCTTTCTATTTTTCAGTTTACAAAGACAATATAAACAGGTTGTTAAAGTTATTCCATAGTATAAAAGTTGAAGATGAATTTAATTTGATTTTTGCTAGCTGATTTTTTAGTTTTTTGTTTTTTTTTTTAATTTGGAATGATTTTAGAAGTACAGAAAAGTTGCACAGATGGTACAAAGAGTTCTTGGAACCCCTTCACCCAGTTTATCCCATTATTAACATCTTACGTTATCATGGTACATTTATCAGAACAAAGGAACCAACATAGGTGTGTTACTATTAACTAAACTCCAGATATTTTTTTCAGATTCCACTAGTTTTTCTATTGGCATTCTTTTTCTGTCCCAGGATTATATCTAGGCTATCTCAATGTGTTCTTATGTCTCTTTAGTCTCTACAGTTTCTTAAACTTTCCTGTTTCCCTTGACCTTAGAGTTTTGAGAAGCACTGGCCAGGTATTTTGTAGAATAATCCTCAATCCTTAGTATAGTTAGACTTTTAGTATTTGTTCTTAATCAATTTTATAGATCAGTGAAGAAATTCTTGACAGCCATTAATAATAGAACTCTATAGGCTATTCTGTAATTTATCACAACTGATTTCTGAAAATCATATCAAAAGTCAATCTTAAGTAACTGGTTTTGTTCATTTTCTATTAGGGAGTTATGTTTGTGACCAAAGGATTAACATCAAGATTATATAATAGATTTGATTGATGAGCTTAAAAGATAAACCTTTGTACTTATCTAAATTAAAATATTATATTCCAAGTCACAGAAATTTAAGATCTAGAAGGAATGTTATTAGTTGATGCCAAACAAAGTTGAGCATGAGAATCACCTGTTAAATTTTTACAATACCAATTTCTGTGCTCTCCATCTGGGGAATTCTAGTTTTCATGAAAGTCTGTGGTATGGTTTTTGCTGTGTTAAGTGCCATCTAGTCAATTCTGACTCAACAGCAACCCTGTATAGAGTTTCCAAGGAGCAGCTTGTGAGTTTGAGCCACTGACCTTATGGTTCAAACTGAATTTGTAGTCCAGTGCTTTATTCTACAGAACCATACCAAGACTCCAACGTTGTTGTTGTTGTTGTTGTTGTTTAGTGCCATGGAGTTGGCTCCAACTCATAGTGATCCTATGTAGGATTTCCTAGAAGCAGTTGGTGGGTTTGAACCACCAGTGTTGCAGTTAGTAGTCCAGTGTTTAATCTTGTAGTGCCACACCAGGACTCTGGATTCCTGATTAAATATTTAGTTTTGGGAAAGCCAGAGCCTCTGGTATTTCTGTTGGAAATGTGAAACTTTAAAAAGCAAACCACTCAGATACTATTATTGACTCTTGGGAAAATGGATATTGCCTAAGGATCCTAAACATTTTATTTTATAGGAAAAAATTTTTTCTTTAATCTCTCTCTCTCTCTTTTTTTTACTATGGTGAAAGCACACACACCAAAATATCCAGCCAACTCAACTTCCACATTTACAACAGAATCTCCTTCATTACATTTTCATGTTGTGCTACCTGAAGTTCTGATGTGGCTCTGTGGGTTAATGCTCTGGACTGCAAGGTCAATTTGGACAGCAAGGTCAATTTGAACTGCAAGGTCGGTGGTTCAAGCTCACCAGCAGCTCCTTGGAAACCCTATGCAGGGTTGCTATTCACTGAACCAACTTGACAGCACTTAACAACAACATT